GAAGCAAGACGGAGAAAGTAAAGCCAGGCAGTGCACCTGGACACTGCATTAAAACAGAGTGAGCTGGGGAGATGGTTCAGTCAGAAAGTGTTGCTTTGTAAGCAAGAGAAATGAAGTCAATCCCCACAACCCACATTTACAAAAAAGAAAAAAGATAAGCAAGGCTGGTGGCAGGCACTGGAAATCCCAGTTCTGAGAAGGTAGAGATAGGTGTATTCTTGGTCATCCAGGCTGACCGGGGAGCTCTAAGACAATGAGAGATGCTGTCTCCAAACACAGAGGAGATGGATCCTAAGGCACAACACAAACACTGGCCTAAGGTCTTCTCCCACCACACACACACACACACACACACACACACACACACACACACACACACACAAATATCTGAGACCATAATTAGTTTGTTCTCTCTGATGTAAATGCCATGACAACATCAGTTGAGGGAAGCATAAAGCCTGACCTACCAAGATCACAGGATGCACTGAAATCTGACTTTATCTAATGTCTACTCTAATAATACTCCTCTTGTGCATATATTCAAAATTTAAATATTCATAAAAGAGGGTTCTTATATTTATGCTCAACATCCACTTGTTTTCTCAGGCCACCTTTGCAAAACAAACCATAAAAGGAAAGGAAAAAAAATACCCTATGGCATTTGTAACAGACTAGATACCAAGCCACACTCTAACGCATAAATTATTCCCTAGGAATTAATAAAGTACTCAAGAAACTTGTATTAACTCTTTCAGGCCACTAGGGTATCATTCACTGAACTAAATTCTTAATTTACTAAAATGATACACAAGAGGTTCAGAAGTAAATAACTTCTCCAAGGGCACAGGAAAAAAGGAAGAAAAAGAACAAACGAAAACAGCTTGTGAAGGCACTTAGGAATATAAACTTAAATCATCACAAAATAGAGTCGATCAACAGAAAAACACGGTTCCAACAGATTCACCTCAGGAGTTGGGGCAGGACTGCAACAGAAGCATGGCTAGAAACACGGAGACCTTTGGGGTAGAAAGTCACCTGGGACAGAGCAAGGAACCAACGCTAGGACCAAACCTTGCCCTAGCACCCAGCAGGTGCAAAAGGAGAGCTGGTTTGCTCCTGCTTCACCAGGTATACACAGAGGGCCCTGGGACTAATTCCCCCACCTCCAACAGGCACGGGGATGACGTACCACGTGGCAGTTCTGACTTCCTACAGACCTGTCTGACAGTCCTTCCCACCTGTCCCATCTCAATGGAAGCATATCAGCATCTCAGGTCTCCAGCAATGGGTGTAACATTACCTAGCTCAGGTCTCCAGCAATGGGTGTAACATTACCTAGCTCAGGTCTCCAGCAATGGGTGTAACATTACCTAGCTCAGGCACTCAAGGTGATAGAAACACTATTAAGGCAAAGTTAATTATGCTCTTTAATCTGTAAATCACTACTAGTTACAGTACCAGGAGATTTATGTCGAGGACTGTTGCCAGTACACAACTGTTATAAGAACATGAAAAAAATCATTTCTTTTAAATCAAGTAAGTCATTGGAGAGGAATTAGTGAAGGAAGTGTCATCTAAGTAGGGTCTGGGAAGACAACTACAGCAAAACAGAATAGTATGCAGAGGCAGATGCAGATTCAGGAGACAGCAATCAAAGCATAAGAAAAACACAAGCAGACACAAGGAAGTGAGTACCAAGTTCTTTAGGCAGCAGCAAGACTAACTGCAGACTATGGCATATAAAATGAAACTCTTGATTCATTCAGGTTGTTTGGGAAGCTAAGGATTCGATTTAAGGCCTTGTACATACTAGGCAAATGCTCTACTACTGAGCCATGGCCCAAATCTCTCACTGAGGGATTCTGGACAGGTATTCTACCACTGAGCCACACCCCAGCCCCTCACTGGGGGATTCTAGGCAGGGGCTCTACCACTGAGCCACACCCCAGCCCCTCACTGGGGGATTCTAGGCAGGTGTTCTACCACTGAGCCACTCCCCAGTCCCTCACTGGGGGATTCTAGGCAAGTGTTCTACTGCTGAGCCATAGTCCCAAACATTCTTGGCAAGTCCTCCATCTGTGAGCTACACACCTAGCCCTCTAGATTTCTTTAGCTAAAAGGGAAAGGGAAAACACTCTCTGCACTTCTAGATTCTTTTCAAATGTGACTTTACTGGCATTTCTCTTCCAATTCTGTTTCCTGTCACTGTCCTCCTTTGTATTTTTGCCATACAACATTTGTAGTTAAGATATAACTGGCCATACTGGTTATGGCTTCACTGTTGTTACCTGTTCTAAGGTTCCTTGCTCATCAGTGTACCTTTGATCTTCTATCCTACTGAAGGACATCCAGCTGCTCAGATTCCACACTGCACCTGCTCACAGGAGGTAGAGTCTTCCATCACACCCTTAGGCTTATCTACCAGAAATCTACTCCTCTGACATCTCCCAGAACAAAGGGTTGTCTTGTCCTTCATCTTAATTGAACAGTCCATAATTGTAACTCATCCCAGGGGAGTACGAAGGCAACCAATAGATTTGTATATGCCAAAATCTGGCTCAACATTCTAGTCTAAGGTCTGAATGTTTACATAATCCAAAAATCTATTTCAGTATTTTCTTCTCAGGACTGAGGGTTAGTGGGAGAGTATCTGCTTCATACTCAGGAGATTTAATGTGACTATCATCTCCATAAAGGATGTGCTTCTGCACCCTTGGGTACCATTTTAGTAAATTAAGAACTTCTTTACTGAATAGTGTCCTGGTATTCTGAGTTATCCGCAGAAGACAAGGTGAGGAAGAAAAATAGGAAAAAAAAAACAACAGTATTTTGTCTTCAAAAGGTGACCATGTTCAGCTCCACTTCAATAAAGTAGAAAATCTACTAATTTTGTAAGAACAATATCCTTAACAGACAGCCTAGCCATAAGTCAGATGTGGGGGTGAACCTCTATCATACAAGCATTTGAAAGGTGGAGACAGGAAAACAAAATATGCTAATCCTATTAAAAGTCACCCTCAGCCCAGAGCAAGTTTAAATTCCATCTGAGCAATATGAGACTATTTTAAATTTAATAAAAATTAAAAAAAAAACCACTGTTCCGTGTAGCATGTTTGTGTTTAGTGTCAGCATTGGTGGCTCATGGTCACATGTGCTCTCAGTAAGCTCTCATGTTCTTGCTGTGAGCATCAAACAAGATAATGTATAAACCACCTCTGACATAAAAGTGTATAATATGTGCCGGTTGATTGTTGTCACCACTGAGGTGTTGTAATGATGTAATGTTGTAAACACTTGTTTGTTTCCCGGCTGCCCAGACTTCTGAAATAACCACCCAGAAACTGTCTTATTTAAATCACTGCTTGGCCCATTAGCTCTAGCTTCTTATTGACTATGTCTTGCACCTTAATTTAACCCATCTCCATTCAACTGTACATCACCACGAGGTCGTGGCCTACTAGCAAAGTTTCAGTGTGTCTGTCTCCAGCGCAGCTCCGTGGTTTCTTCCTGACTCTGACTCCTTTATCCCAGCATTCAGTTTAGTTTCCCCCACCTACCTAAGTTCTGCCCTATCAACAGGCCAAGGTAGTTTCTTTGTTCACCAATGGTATTCACAGCATACAGAGGGAAATCCCATACCACTGAGGTACCAAAGAATATAGTATAGGTGGAGAATTTCAAGTAATTTCATAAAAACCAAGCCCACAGACTTCTGTTACTGGCAGGAAACAAGGAGAAAAGACTGAAACTGGGAGATGAAAGCCTTCTGGAAGGCTAACCAATAGCACCTTACTGACAATGGCAAAATCCCCGAGCATCACGTCTGAGATAAGATGATGTAGTCACCCCAGCCCCACCTCCCTCTAACCATATCTTACTAACATCCCATATAGCACACAGCCAACTTATCCAGCAGGTTCGAGAGTCGGATCTCCCTTCTGAAGACAAGAAACCCTCCTTAAAAGACTTTAGACAGAAGTATACAAATTACCTAAAGATGCCATTTAGCAACTTGCAATTCTAAATCTTAAAAAATCAGACCATAAAACTGGATATAGAAACATTCATCAATGGAACTGAACTAGAAGACGTGTCTTGATTCTTAGAGTTTAAAAGGCTAAAAGAAAAGAAGGGCTAAGAAACAGTGTGTGGTGATTGCGGTGCTAACAAAGAGGAAGAGATCACTGCTGTCACAGCCGTCCAAAGTGTATGAATCCAGACAGGGTCAATATCATCCCAACAGACCCTGATTAATGCCAGAAGTAAGCAACACGAGAAATTTTATGGCCCATAAGTAGGAAACACTGAAAAGGGAAGGGCACAGCCACAGGGGCACACACCACTGAAGGACTTCCAAGGACGGCAGTGGCTCAGGTCTAGAAACTGGGTTTCTGTGAACATGTCATAGGCAACTAGTAAAAGCAATTTTCTAAAATCATGAAAACACACATTATTGAATGATGGTTGGTTGCTTTATTTTGTTGTTTTAAAGAGCCTCATGGTACAAATATGTAAGTAAAAGATTTTAAAGTATTTCACAACATTGAATCGGGATTTTATATAACCATTTCTCAGAAGAATATGATTTCTTTAAAAGTCACAGCTACTTCAGGCTATTTACATGGTATGTTTATATTAAATTAGGAGGTTGGCTAGTATCTTTGTAATCTCATTTAATATATGTTATATTCCAGTACGTTTTTGCAATGTGTTCTTTTGATGTTAACATATTTAAGCAGTGGGACAGTTACTATGAAATAAGTCAGGTCTTACAGAACACAGGCCATTATATCTGCAAAAACATCCACACTGTACAACCAATAAATCACTTAGAAATTAAAAAAAAATCCTCCAACTCAAAAACAGAAAGAAAAAAAAAAACCCAGCTCCTAATGGCATTCTTTCCATGCACTGCCATGCAGTAGTGATCAAAGCATGTTCCAAATAGCCCCCGGCTTCTGCAGCAACACTTGAAGGTTTCCAACTTTTAAAAATAGACACATTTTTAACTCTATAATAATGCACGAGAATCATTGTGAGAGGAGTACAACTTCAAACTTTTCCATGTAGAAGTCCCCAAGAGCACCACCTTATGTAGTGAGGTTCATCTGTGCATGTGCAGGCCCTGCAATAAAGCAAATCTGACATTACCATACAAGGGAATGGCTCATGGTTATCATGTCATTAGACACAAAGGCTCAGCACACATCCCTTTCTGTATCTGGGTTGGCCAAGAATTTATGTTCTCTCTTACAGAACTATATTACCAAGCACACTTCTGCAACACGCATGTGCCAAATAAAATTATACCCCAGGCAGGAACAGGCCCATCTGACTGCAACGTGCTTCTAGCATGCCATTATGTCCAGCAACAGCAAATGAGGACACAATATCCATCTATTCTGAGACCATAATGTAGTTTTAATGTTTGTTGCAAATTTGTCGATCTTTCTTTTCTATTTATGATAATAACAAGAGCAGCTGTCACATTTTTATTCAGCATGGAAATAAAAACTTTCCACAATTCTCTTCTAAGCTCCTGTATCAGAATGACTAAAGCCCATCTAGAAATTGCAAGGAAAACTATTTTAAAGCTAGTAACAGCCAATGCTTACATCAGAATTTTCTCAGATATCAAACAACTAAACTATAGAACAATTGGATGCCGTGCTTTGGACAAAGCCTCCGTTTTGTACGAGGAAAGGAGACCTGGAGATTATTAGCATAGCAATGTGAAGGCACTGAACACTACAGAAGTACACACTTCAACACAGCTAAGACATAAATTATAGTGTTAGGCACAATGGACAATTTTCAGAGCATTTCTTTAAATTGGTTATGAAGGAGATTTGTTTTTTTTTTCTTTTGTTAACAGGAAAGGCATTTAGTTCTATAGATTTTTCCCTGCATGTGCTTTTCATTTTGCTCCATAAACTTCAGTAGGAAACATTCCTTTTATTGCTTTGCTTAATCTAACTAAACTTTTAATTAAAATTTACCTGCATTCCCAGCTTTTAGGATCTTTTCGTGTGTTTCAAAACCCAGTGATCTGACACCTACATATCTTCACTGCTACCTTCCCTTCATAAATGTTGTGTTTTACTAATGTTTCCTTGTAATCATGTTTAGGGATATAAAGTATAATATCCAATTGTTCTGATAGATTAACCAGTCCTGCTTCCTTTCTGCATTCAGATGCTATCTCTTTATTTTAATCTTTAACAACAAATGAAGTGTAACTTATACCCAACTGCATTTTTAAAAGGCAGTCTCCAATCTTGTCCCTTACCAAAAATTCATTCTGTTTTTTTTCTTTTGAGACAGTGTCTCATGTAGTTCAGACTGGCCTCCAACTCACTACGTAAGGGGGTGACCTTGAACTCCTGCCCCTCCAGTCTCTACCTCCCAAGAGTTGGATTAGCAGGGTGCACCATCACATCCAGTTTAATCAGTGCTGAGAGGTAACCCAGGGTTCGTGCATGCTAGGCAGACACTCTTCAACCTGAGCTTCATCCTCAGCCCCGTTCACATTTTTCAGTTATCTTTTATCACAAATTCTAAGTCCACATGCATTTGTAAGAAATGCTTCAGAGACTCCACCTGTCTTCCATCAAGTTTGTCAAAACACATCACCACCAGTATCTACAATGCAATATGGCACCAGCCTATTGACACCGACATAGTCAAAATGTAGCAGAACATGTTCACCACCACACAGATGCAGGTGGTGGGCTCAGTAGCCACTCAGGTTCTTCCTACCTTCATCTGCTACTGGAGTACAAAGAGCCACATATCTGTTTTCTGTTCACAATATGCTGTCATTTACAATTATATAAATCACATCATGCAGTCTGTAATCTTTTCGAAATGGCTTTTTGTCATCCTGTATTGCTTCACCTTTTGTTCCTTTTTATTGTGAGAAACAATCATGATACAGATGTACTGCTGTTTGGGTAATCACTCACCCACTCAAGGATTTCAGGGTTGGTTTCAGAGTGGCGATAAAAACGTTTCTAGGAACATTTGTGTCCGGACTCTTACACAACTGTTTTCATTTCTCTGGGATAAACACGTAGGCCTGCATCTGCTAGGCTGTCAATTCCACAGAGTGGCTGCATCCGTTCCATTCCACAGCCATGTGTAGGTGATGCTCTCTCTCTCTCTCAATCCTCACAGGCATTCGGTGCTGTCATTGGTTTTTACTTTGGCCATTTAACAGTAGTTACTCTGGATGGCTTTCTCATTTCCCTATTGGCTAATGATGCTGCCTGTCTTTTTCTGGTTTTATTTACCATCTTATATATAGCCATCTATAGATGTCTTCTGCTGTTATATGAGGGCTGTTAATTCGTTCCCAGCTGTTCAGCCCCAAATGAAACACACAGAAACCATATTATTTGAAATACTGTTTGGCCAATAACTTAAGTGTATCTCTTGCTAACTCATATCTTAAATTAACCTATCTCCATTAATCTGTGTATTGCCTCAAGGCTGTGGCTTACCGGGTAAAGTTTCAGCGTCTGTCACTGGAAAGAGGCTATACATACAACAAAATTGACCTTAAATTTTCATCAATAAAGCAAGATCCATACCAATGCAAATCTCTATAGCATTTTGCTCACTTTCTAACTGGACTAGTTTATGTGTCACTTTTGAGAGTTCTTTTTTTTTTTTTTTTTTTTTTTGGTTTTTCGAGACAGGGTTTCTCTGTGGTTTTGGAGCCTGTCCTGGAACTAGCTCTGTAGACCAGGCTGGTCTCGAANCCCGAGTGCTGGGATTAAAGGCGTGCGCCACCACCGCCCGGCTTGAGAGTTCTTAATACACTTTAGATACTAATCTTTCGGGTAGTATACAAACAGGTTTAGTGCAAGTGTTTTATACCACTCTATACCTTGACTTTTCTTTCTCTTTATGTGATCTTTCATGAATTAAAAGTTCTTCTACATACGGGACACATACTTTTATGGGATATCATGGATTACACATTTAGCATGGCCTAGTCTATGATCTTAAAAACTTTCTACTATTTTTTCCAGAGCTTTCATAATTTTACATTTAAATCCATAATCTGAGTTCATCTTACTTAAGATATAGAATTTAAATTGAGATCTATCCACTAATGATAGCTTATGCTGAAGTGGATGTAGGGTAAAGGGAACACTCCTCCATTGTTGGTGGGAGTGCAAACTTGTACAGCCCCTTTGGAAATGAGTATGGAGATTTCTCATAAAATTAGAAAACATCCTACCTCAAGACTCAGCAATACCACTTTTGGTATATATCCAAAGGATGCTCAATCGTGCCACAAGGACATGTGCTCAACTATGTTCATAGCAGCATTGTTTGTAATAGCCAGAACCTGGAAACAACTTAGATGCCTCTCAACTAAAGAATGGATAAAGAATTTGTGATGCATTTGCACAATGGAACGCTACACAGCAGTAAAAAAAAAATAATGATATCTTGACATTTGCATGCAAATGGATGGAGCTAGAAAAAAACATATTGAGTGAGGTAACCCAGACCAGAAAAACAAATATAATATGTACTCATAAGTGGCTTTTAGACATAAAGCAAAGAAAAACCAGCCTACAGCCCACAACCCTAGAGACCAAGACAACAAAGAGGACTCTAAGAGAAACATACATGGATCTACACAGGAAGGAGAAACAGACAAGACTTTTTTGAGTAAATTGGGAACATGGGGCTCATGAAAGAGAGTAGAAGGGGAGGGGAGAGAAGGAAGTGGAAAATACGTATACCTCAATAAAAACAATTAAAAAAGTTGAGGTGCATCATTTTGTCTGTGGGCATTTAACTGTTCTAGCATCACTTTTTTTTCTAAATCTATCATGTGTGTATGTGTGTGTATCCGTGTGCATACCTCAATATGCATGTGGAAGTCAAAGGACAACTGATAGGAGCCTGTTCTCTCCTTACATCATGTGAGCTTTGGGAATCAAACTCAGGTCATCCAGCTTGGCAGCAATCACCCACACTCTTTAAGCCATCTCACCAGTCCAATGTTGGTATGTTTCTTGATTATTCTATTGTTTTGATCTACAAGTCTATTCTCTTTGCCAGTACCACAACACCATAATTGCTGCACCTATAGGAAAGCCATTAATATCAATACAGTCATCCAATAAACTATAATCTTTCACCTTTCATAATACTGCTTTAACCTCACTGCAACCTATCCCTCTACACACACACACACACACACACACAAGTAAATAAATAAAATAGTAATGCAGCCTAGGTCTTCAAAACAATTTTGCTAAGGTTTTGTAGAAATGTATAAATTTGGAGCTGGAGAGAGAGAGATGGTTCAGCATTAAAAGCCCTTGCTCTTACAGAGGACCTGAGTTCAGTTCCCAGAACCCATGTCAGAAAGCTCACAATCATCTGCAACTCAAGGAGACCGAATGCCTTTGTCTGACTTCTAGGGACACCCTCACATGTGTGGCACCTGCACGTGCATATGCACACACACAAACACATTCAAATAAAATAAAATATTGTAAAAAGAAGTTGTACAATTTGAGAAGAAATAACACATTGACTATGGTGAACCTTGCAGAATAAGTGAGTAGGATATGTCAACATTCAGGTGCTCTGACTCCTTTAACCACAATTTTTAAGTAAATCCTACCCATGTTGAAATTTACACCCATGTGCTTTGTGTCCTCTGGAGCAACTGTAAATGGCAATGTGTTCATTTCAGTTGCTCATATTCGATACAGAAAAGTGACTTTTGATCTTATTTGTAGTGGTTATATTGTATACCAAAGAAGTTCAGGGAACTGGATAAATGGCTCTGTGGATAACAGCACTGGTTGCTCTTCTAAAGAACCTGGGTAAAATATTCATCACATAAAATAAAAATTTTTAAATAAAGTTTTTATTTTTCTACATTCCTTGGGGTTTTCTCATACAAAAAAAAAAAGGATTCATCTCGTGTTAGGGGAAAGGATAGCTTTGTTTTTCTTTTTCATCTGCTTGCATTTCATTCTTTTTCTATCAGTGATACACAGCTAGAACTTCTATTACTACTTTCGACAGACAAAGTAAGAGTATGCATCCCGGCCTTGTTTCCAATCTGAGAAGAAACAATCTATTTTT